CCCCCCATACCCCCCCCCCCCCCCCCGCATTCACTCACTTTTCGTATGCGGATGTGACCGTGCCATTTTATATGTTAACAAGCGTTTTCGTTATTTTTGACTGCAGATTGAAGCTATTTATAAGAACGCCCATAAAGCCATACGCGCAAGTCCAGAACACACGAAAATTATTAAAGAAAAAATACCTGTGAAAAAGAGATGGAATCGTGCTAAACTTTCTTTATCAGAAAGAAAGAATCGTGTTATTCAAAAGAAAGCTTCTTTCCTTACGACACTAGAAGAAGTAGAAGCTTAGACGTATTTGTTGGTGTCGTGTATCATATCAATGTTCATGTATACACGAAAAAAATTTTGCTACAAAAATAAAAAAGTATAAAATTGAAATTTTCTATTCTTATTGTATTAACAAAATTATTCTATATTTATTCTAATTAATTTATTTATTGCGCTACATATTGCGCATGACAACAGTGGCATCACATCAATTGATATCACATAATTTGTATAATATATGATGTCGCTATGTCATTACTAACAAATATACTTATACAAAATACATATATACATATTAAATCTAATATATGAGAATAATTTTGCAATAAAGTAAAATGCGGATTATAAATAAATTTACAAACAACTTTTAACCATATACGATAATTAAACTGTGATATTTTAATTTCAAGATAAATCAATAATTTATATAAGGTTAATAATTTTGTTGAAAACTTAGAATATGAAAACGATTGTATGATCTTGTAAATTACTAATTTCTTTTTTGAAATTAACGGAAAAGTGATAATCTACTACGAGAACCAGGCAATCTGCCATGTTCATGAATTAATCCAGCTTGAATATCTCTGATTGAAGGAACGGTTCTTACTTCCCCTCGGGCTGCTACGCTAGGTGGTGATTTAAGTAAACGGCGAGCTACGTTCTTTACATCGTCTTTTGATACCTCATCTGCAAATAATATGAATATGAAGTTACTATAAAAGTTTTACCTTTATATTACATTATTGAATAATATTAATCTATAATATAAGTGTACTAAAATTCATGGATATGAATTAATATAATGACATTAATATAATGTAAAACATACCAATTGCTTTTATAAAGTATTCTGGCCGTTTCCTAGAACCAGTGGCTAAAACTTGTCTTCCAATATCTTCAAATACAACAGGTCTTTGTTCCAAATTCATAAGTAACATAGATTGCAATTGTTTCTTTGCTCTCTATATTAAAAAAAATATTCAGATCAGATTAAAAAATAAAAAAATATAGTACTGTGATTCATACAACTGGTTGGAGTTATATTTTTAAAACGGTTAGAGATAGAAAAAATGTAAATGATATTGTAAAATGTAAATCTAAATGTATGTTATTTATTTTTCTATTATTTTTATGCATTCTCATGTATCAATGCATTTGCAAAGTACAACTGCACTTTCTTTTTAAATAGAACTATATAACTTTTCTAATATAAATAGATTTTCTGGATCATTCTATATATAAAAGTGTTATTATGACTTTAAACTAAATAGTTTACAAGATTTTTACCTATTTTAATAACTTTTAAGTATATTTGGAATTCGTAAATCATAAAACATGTTTAAAAAACTGTCCATTCCATTCTAAATACTTTCTTATTTATATCTTAAAATTATTTAGGACATTATTTATTTAATTTATGTCCGGGCTCAACGCTTTGAATGGAACGTGAATGAATTTTATCTTTTAAAAAAAGACTTACAGACGTTAAATCCAATAGATCGATTTATGCAAGAAAAATGTTATAGATGCATTTAAAAAAAGATGCAATTATACTTTGTCAATGCATGAGTATATATAAGAATGGTACATCAATGCTGTTTAATTTTATGTAAAACTACTGTTCTATTTAACTGGTTGCGTGAGACATCTTGTACATGTGTAAATAAAATTTATAAATAGTATCATACCGCTAACTCACTATCCGTAATATTATTTGTCATGGTAACCATTTCATGCACTATTACTTCTACCATATCTCTGACGTGAGATGGTGTGCAAGATGCATGAATGTAAAAAAGACCTGTATCGGCATATGCGTGATTATATGCAGTTGCACTATACAACCAGTGATACCTAAAAATAACAATTATATATATGTAATTATTTTATAATACTTACTTTGCATTTAGTTTTCTCAGCAGCAAAAAAGTATTTCAGATTTTACCTATTAAGTACATTTGTATACAAACGAGTATACATTCCCTTTCCTGGACCTCCAGCACTGAAGCTATTACCACCACCCATCATCATATTTAGAACACACATTGCCACGAAATCAGAATCTTGATGAGAATATCCTTCCAAACCTATTACGACATGCGATAATTCCGGTAGACCACTAGGTCCTGCATATACTGGTACATTACATTCTTCCTATATAAAATAAAATTAAAATTGTAAAATTAAAAATTATTAAATAGTAGTTCATATATTTCATTCAAAACAATAATTACTAGTATGTAACCTCCAGTATACTGGGCAATTGAAGTATCGGCTGTATTTAAAAATTTTGTTGATATAGAGCTTTTTGTCTTTTGTTCCTTCTCTTTTTCTTCTTCTTGTTCCCAAACTGATTCTTCCTCGACAAAATATCTACAATAATATTATTAATAATTTTCATTTCATTATATTTAATAGTTAATTAATCAACAATCAATATCAACAAAACAAAACTTTATATAGTATATAAATTATAATTTACAGATTTTGAATTAGTAAGAATCAATTTAATAATATGTTAGTAACATTTTCATTCAGTGAATACTTAACAGTTTTATTTGTAATTACTTTTGAACAGCTAAAATAAGATCTTCATGCTCTACACCAACTCCAGCTACTACCATTCTATGTGGTGTATAATGATGTTTTAAATATTCAAATAATATATTTCTGTCTATACGATCAATGTTTTCCTTTGGACAAATCTTTGGAAGTCCAAGAGTATTATTTCTATATGCAGCCTAAGGAATAAGATTTACTTATTTAAGAAAATATTTATTCTTATTGTATTCTTTTATTAAAATATATTTTCTTTTTACTTACTGCATGAATCATATCCATAAGTATTGGTTCCTGTTCTGGTCTTGTAAGTAAAGATTCTAATTCAAAATGGATCATTAATCTTGCAGCATTTACCTAGAAATTGTTGTGCTCAGTTTAAATTTCTATATTACAACCATACATTTTCATGTAATAAATTTTTTTACTATAATGAATAGCATGAAGTTAATAAAATTCGTAAAAATTGTTATTTTGTTATATATAACATGTATATATTATGTCAATACCGTATAACATAACTGTTTACCTCATCCTGTGTAATTTGAGGCCTTAAAACAATATCACCTAAAATTTGTACAACAGTATCTAATCCATGGCGCTCTGCTGATGCTGCATATACAAATGTATCTCTAGATGCTTGACAATCACATATACCTCCATGTTTTTCTAGTGCAAGCATTATCTGGTCTTTATTCTTGTATGTTTTGGTAGACTGTAAAAGTAAATTACTGATTTTTTTTATTTTTCGAATACTAATTCTTCATTGTACTATAAAAACCTTACTCCGAATGCCAACTTTTCTAGGAAGTGTGAGATACCATTGGGATATATAATTTCATATCGTGGACCAGAATCAAGCAATACTGTAAAATACTATTTTAGTATACAAATAAATGTCTTTAAAAAGATTTTCTATGAACATCTTTTAAACTTACCACCTATTGTACAAAACTGACCAAATCGATTTTCCGAAGCAACCTTCAATCCATTTGACAAAACTGTTACTTTAGTAACCTGATGTTCTTCTTTAGCAGTAGCATAGATTGCTTTAGGTAAATTAGGTATAGGCTTGGTTAATGGAGGAAACGGGGTAACAATTGATTTTCGTGTTATTTTATTATTGGGTACATTTTGAGAGGAAAAATCACATTTTTTGATAAACGAAAATGTCTTTCCTCGTACTGCACTGTAAAAAATATTACTGCATTTAATAATGGAAAAATTTATTTATAGAGTAATTATCGATATATATTATTATGTTTTTACAAGGTTAAGTGAAAAATATACTGCAAATATATACTGCAAAACCTTTTTCTACTATAAAAATAATTACCTTTTTGTAAAGGCAACTATTAAAGAACTCTGCGACGTTTTCATTAGCATTTTCATTTTATCGTTTGTATTAAACCATTTAATATATAAATTAAATTGTCACCTTCACAGTTTCGAAACGGAAAATAATTAACCAAACAATCTTAAAACTTTTGACAAAAATAACTAACAAATTTAGGTATATTCAATAAGAGTTCGTACGAATCAATAGTGCCACAGTTCTAGGACTTTTGAAAACTTAATGATGGATAATTTGGTCCAGTATTTTGTAAGGAATGGCACTAAACATAATTTCTTCTTTAACTAGGCACTTAGTGGAGAAACAGTTCTTTTATACCAAAACTTTTGTACTTCATTATATTCATAAAAGATATAAGTAACAAGAATGAAACTCGATGTTTAATTCTTAGAATTTCAATAAAGTTTATAATTTGCGTAGTGAATTGAAAAATGAGGCCACTTAAACAATCTAAATTAAAAGCTAAGGAAAATCTAAGTCTAAAATTAACAGAAAAATCTCGTAAACAAATGCGTAAAGAACTTAGAAAGCAAAAAAAAGTTAATCGATTAATTTATTCAAAAAACAAACATAAGTTAAGTACATGTGTGAATGTTGAATTCGACAAAATTGTCGAAACCAAAGATAACGAAACAAATTATTGCAATGAAGTAACTAACAAAACTGTGAATGTACATAAAAAATTAAAAAGATATACAAGAGATATTAAAAAACAAGAGTTTGAAGAACCTGAATTTAAAAAAAGAAATAAAAAATGTGAGTTACTTAAAGAAGCTAATTTAAAAGAAGACAAAGTAATTAAGAAACTGGAAAAGCAATTGAAATTAAATAAAAGAAAAAAAAAAACGATTCCTAAGTCTTTCGTAACAGATGGTTTAGATTGTATCCTTTCTATTTTATTATCAAAAATTAAGTTTGATAGTAGTTACAAGAAAAACTTGTATGTGTTAATTTTTTAAACTATTTTTAATAATATAAATTATTTTCATATAAATTATTTCCTTAATATATGGTCAGATCTTTTAGATTTTTGCTTAGAAAAAAATAGAAAATGTATATTGGAGACAGAAAAAGAAATTTTAGAAAATGAATTTAATAATGAATTCGATATAAATTTTTCAGAAATAATAGATGAAAATATATATACAAATAATAAATTATTTTGTAATTACAAAAATAAGAGTGAAAGCAAAAGCAAAAATGAGAGTGTCAATGATTCTAGTAAAAATGTACCTATGATAGCATCCAAATCAAAAAAGATAAAGTTAACACGAATTATAAAAGCTGATAATATCAATATTAATGACAAAGATGTATGGGAAGATATTTATGGTAGAAAAAGAGATAAAGAGGGTAACATCATATATAATACTAATAGATATATTCCACCAGCTGTGCAAAAAGTTATTATGCATGATATAAATCTATATGATGAAAAATTGATTTCTCTGAAAAAGCAGTTAAAAGGTTGTTTAAATAGAATAACAGAACATAATGTTTATAACATATCAAACCAGGTAATAAATATATGTATCTATAATAAATTTTTGTAGTGTATGATTTATATATTATATGGGATGTTACAGGTAGAAACAATGTATATGACAAACAGTCGTAATAATATGAACAACATATTATCAGAATTAGTGCTTGAAAGTTTGGTGTCAGATGTAATTACACCAGATCGTCTTATTTCTGAATATATGATGTTAATTGCGATTTTACATGCTAATATTGGTATCGAAGTAGGCGCTAATTTTGTAGAGAAACTTGTTAAAAGATTTTTTGATGCAATGGAAAAGCTACAAGATATAACAAAAAAAGAATTAGATAATATAGTTCTTATAATTTCACACTTATATAATTTTAAAGTACACCAAATTTTATTAAATAATGATTTATATTAATGTAAATATGTAATTAACTTAACTTTATTTTATACAGATATTTGGAAATAAGCTTCTTTATCAGATACTTAATAAATTGATGATCAAATTTACGGAAAAAGAAATTGAATTAATATTACTTATCTTAAAAACAGTAGGATTTTCATTGAGAAAGGATGATCCCAATGCTTTAAAAGAATTTATAAAAAGTGTACAGTTAAAAGCTAGTAATGAGAATGGAAAAAAGTAGGCTCTTGTATGTTTTTTAAGTATAAAATACAAATTATTAAAAATTAATTTAATAATTATTATTGTTATATAGTTCAAGAATTAAATTTATGTTGGAAATTTTGCTAGCACTAAAAAATAATAACTTCAATAAAATACCTCAATATGATCCTTCCCATGTAGAACATTTAAAGAAAATTATAAGAAATGTCATACGAAAAGGTAATACAATAACCCAGTTTAATGTGTCTTTGGAGGATTTATTATATGGTAAGCAATGTATTTGAAATAATTAAAAAAATAATATATCTGCACAAATTAAATACTAATTACCTTTTTACATTTTATTGTAGCTCATGAAAATGGAAAATGGTGGATCATAGGATCAGCTTGGTCTGACTTAAATAATATGAATAGTAAAGTAAATACAAAGGAAAATAATAAGTTTAATTTTGGTGAAAAAATTTTGAGATTAGCACAAAAGCAAAGAATGAATACTGATATAAGAAAAAATATTTTTTGTATCCTTGTAACAGCTGAAGATTATTTAGATGCATTTGAAAAACTTCATCATCTTGGTTTGAAGGATCAGCA